TTTATTAATGGGAATTGTCCATTTTTGAGACAACGGTACCAAAAGAATGGACAAGAGTGGCATAAAATTTCGCACATCCCTTGGCTTTGTATTAGCTAAAACTTCGTTCCAGGAGTTCTGTATGCTTCTAAAGCCCTTATAGATACTTCTTTTACATTATACTATTATCCAGTTTCATTTATTAAGTTTTCGCTTTTTTTCATGTAAAGGCATCCTTTTTTTTTCCCCCTAGTTTTTTTACATGATTAATTATGATGCGATCTCATTCTTTTATTTTTCTCCTTGTGCAGAAATGCTAAGCCAAATATAATGGATCTGATCTCATCCTCACCTAAAATCTTGTGCGCAGAACCACATGCTTGAAGCTTCCACCATCCACTCACGTATAATATTCTCTCTTAGCCCTCTGCAGCAGCTTGTGTTGTTAATCTTAGTCATTGTCTTCGTCTTCCTCAGCATCTGATGGCATTTCTGTAGAAAAGTTGTCAAAAGTACAGATGAACAATATTGCTCTTACTTGGTGGTTATCTACTTCAGTTTGGTCCTTCTTCAGCTCTTCAACATGAGAGCAAGAAAGGAGGACCCATCATTTTCCATCAGAGGGGTGCGATTGCTCCTCTGTGCTCTTTCTCATTATTGTTATGTAAGAGTATTCCTTTCTTGAAAATGAAATTTTTCTCCGTTTGGTTTACTTTTCTTGAGTTCTGATTTCTGAGATAAAATTATTTCTAGTTTGAAGAATTTGATAGTAAATACTGGAAACCTATGGTTTTTGTTTTCATTTATCAGAGAATAAAAAGCTTCCAATCTGTGATAAGGATATTGTGACTATTGCAAGTATATGAATTTGCTAAATGAGAATTAAAACCTGACTAACACAGTACAGGGCTAAAATGAATAGGGAATAAACACAGTTGCCTAACATATTGAAATTTCACCTTCAATCATGCCTGCGGATTGAATCATGATCAATCACCATAGAAAATTTTCCTCTTTGATTTTTCTTTTTGTTTGGTAATCTGTTGGAGGGTGTGGAAAATTTTGCATATTTTCTTTCATTCCTTGCACTGGCTTTTGAAAACGTGTGAAAGTGATTAATCAATTGACCTTGATGTTTTGCTTATTGCAGGTAGCTTATGGTCCCCATCCTGTTTAGAATTTGGTTGGTCATATTGCACTCTGGCATTCATTCTATCTGTGAAGGAAGATGATATCATATGGCACAAATCAAGGTTTTTGTGATATCAATTAAATAAATGATCAATTACCTTCAAAAGTTTCTCTTCTTCTAGCCTCCAGTCTGTTTCTTCAAATGAAGCTTAGCTGATAAACCTTTTAGTTTAATTATAGCTGCGATTAAACCCTACTTCTTTTATATCATAAGTTTGCTTCTATTTTATTTTATCTTATTTTTGTGTTTGAATCTGAGGTAAAACCACATAGCTGGTCAATCAATGTTGGAACAGGTGAAAAACTGGCTCATGGCACTCAAAATATTGAAATTTGTGAATTAGTTGCTCGTGATCAGAGGTCCTATAGTGCTTTTTGTCTCCTGTGGCTTGGTTGCTTTAACAGTGGTATATATTCCACAACATTGCGAAAAGAAATGGATAACCAATGTATGCCAATAAAGTAATTCCCAGTAGTATGGCCCAAAAGCGTGAAACTAAAATGATTATATTGTTCTATATGAATCTTTCCTGAAAAAAGTTCTATTGCTTTCCGTAATTCTTCATGAAATGTCGTCATGCTAAAACTGATATCTGGGCTTTTAGGGTTCGTTCATTTTTCATGAGGTCTGCATTTACGGAAAAAGTCACAGTTCAATGGTGAAGACCCTGTATTTGTCTGCCAACATACAAAATTTTTTAACTTGATTCTTGAGCTTGGGTGGCTTTTATCTTAATGTCTCCAAATCCATTACAAATAAATTTTGTAGAAATTAAAAACCCAATATTTAACCGATATGTGCCTATGAAGTTTTTCCCAACCAAGCTAAATTACATTAGTCTATGACTCATTCCTGTAAAGAATTTCGTCACTTGTCACTACTCCTCATGCTGGGCTATTGGGATTCATTCATTTTCATCATGTCTTCATTTGTTTTATTAGTCTCGGTTCAGCGGGGAAAATCAAAATTTCCATGGTTTGATACTCAATTCTGGATGGCCTTCATCATGATGTCTTCTATTTGGAAGATAGAACCTTTGTCTGGAAGCAAAAATTTTCATGTAATTCTTGACACCATATATTGTCAAACAAGAAGCTTAATTATGTAATTTATTGAACTGAAAATTCTCATTTCTGGCTTTCAAGTTCTACGCTGCGGTACTAAATCATCTCTTCATCTGCTAATCTAGCAGTTGGAAATGTTGAAGAACAATGCTACTTGTAATCAAAGCAGGATTATGTTCCATGCTGCAACGGCCAACAAATGCAGTAGTCCTGCCTTTCGTTTTAGTCCTACTTGTACTGATGCTGAGAAATTGGGCATTGTGATGTCAGATAACAGGCCCTGAAGGATTAAGAATCACGCATGGAAAACTGTGAGTAAGAAATTGAAGAACTTGCAAATTTTTGCTAGAACTCCATAGTGCTTTTATCTTGCAGTTTTGTAGCATACGAACTATGTGATTCAGAGTGTGCCTTTTGTCCAATCTGAATTGAATTTTCAATGTGAGACTTATGGGAAGATTTTAGTAATGCAAAAACAGCAACACATGTTCTCTACTTCTCTCTTGCTCCTCCATTCCCTGCTCTGCTTTGCATCAACTTCCCCTATAAAGCTCACTAAGTTTGGCACACATTGAAAATTCCTGTGGTAGTAACATCAAGAGATTGTAAATTGTTGTACTCTGTCCTCTAAAAGTATCAGAATTGATTCTGCTCCTTCAGAACCAGCTGGGATTTATAATTGTTGGTCAGTTTGAAACAAGAACCAAACAACTGGTGAATTAATTGAGAATAAATGGTCTTTTGCGGCCTGCTCTGTTACGAATTCGTTAATCATTGGTTATGTTTACCGAAAAATGTAATCCAAGGCAAAGCTTATTCCTTCCTTAGCTTCTCCTATACTAAGGTGGCTTTTAATTTTGTATGCCTCTTTAAAAAATTGTTTTGATTTAAATAATTGTTTACACATTTTTTATTAGGGAAAAATTAAATAATTACGTTTGTATTATCGGTGATTACAAATTTTGTTTAAAAAATTATTATTTTGTCAAATAATTTTTTAAGATGTTTTTATATGTTTTCCTCGTACCTTTTTCTTTTAATTTGTAAATAAAGTTAATTGTTTGTTGGTATTCAAAATGGATTATTTTATTATTTTATTTTCTATCGGATAATTATAAATTATTTGTTCAGTTTGCTCGAAAGTAGTTATATTTGAATCAAGGACCTCCAAAATAAATTTTCATGACCAAAATGAAGTGACCTGTTTATTATTAATTATTATTAATTAAATTGGGCGTTTTGCGTGTTACAGTCATTTAATAAATTTTTATTTTTCCCCATTAGCTCGTTCAACTAAGAAAAAACTTTTGTCACATCAATTATATTTTTTTGGATGAATCACATAAATTATAATTTTAAACTATAAAGTTTCAGGTGCTCTCATCTCTTTTTTATTTTTATCAATGTGCTCTCAATCATAAAAAAACATGACTTAAACTGTTACATTGAAAAACCAGCTAACTATATGCATGAAGTTGAAAATTATGTTTGCTTGATATCTAAAACACCCGCAACATGAAGTTGATAATGTGAGTTGGTTAGTGTGCTTTACCACCTCTACTCATATATAACAAAATATTTATTAACTCAAAACCAAAAAGTTCGAATGTTTACTTAGAGAAATGTTCATATTTAGTATTCAATAGTATCTTAAATAGGATTCTCTCAAGTAGAAAAATACTTATACTTCCCAAAAAAAAAAAAAAACACCAGATCTCAGTTGACACCATCCTGCAACTCTATCATACTCAGTGTATTTATGGGTGAAATTTTTCTACAAGCTAGCACAGTGGATCTTGGTAATACTAAGAAAGAGAAGATTCGCCTTAGCAGGAGAGCCTATAAAACAGGGGATATATAATAACTTAGTGGAGGATCTGCAGTATGTTCAATATACAGGCTTTTAGTGATAAAAATTTATTCATATTCCTTCTTACTCTAATTGTCACTACTAAGATAGCGTTGAGGATATTATTTTATGAAACCATATTCTCGTTTGCTTTCTTTTTTTTTTTCATGTTTTGGAGTCAAGAAACCACATAATGTCATATATCTGTTTGTAAAAAATTTTCTTATTTTTCTTATTAGTCATATCAACTTATCTAATAAGTATAATTTTCGGCATCTATATTTGTGTGATGAATCAGATTACTCATGCCAATCATCAAGAATAGAGCCGCAGAAATCTTGTTTGGGAACATCAAGGCTGAGAAAGTCTATTCAAGTTATAGATAGCAAATGCTCAAATTAAATAGGGACCTGATGAGTGATAAGTAACCTAAAGAGTGAAAAAGACCAACATGAAAAAAATAAATAAATAAATAAAAGGGGAAAGTTATGAGACCAACATGAAATGTCCACAAAATAGTCTCGTATTCTGTCGTATCTTAGTCGAGATGAATCTGTCTTACATTGAAATGATTGGATTCGAGACAGATACTAAACTATACACTCCTGATTTTAAATTCATAATTGACTTTGGAATATATAAGGTGTTTAGTTTTGGAGTCATAAATGATTTTAAAATGTATAACTGTATTTAAATATCTTTTCAAGAAATCCATGGTTTTCACACTTATAATTATAGGCCACTTCTATCTATTAACATCTATTCTTTTAGGAGCGTTCTTAAAATCATGGACAACTATGCAAATTGCCAGGTGACAAGATAAGGATCATTTCATAGCAGTACCTAATTTGTTCAGATTTGTCCTAATGAATCTGGTTCTCATAGTAGCATAAGACATCGTAATTCAATAGAGATATTAAACGACGCAACGATAAGTTTCAAAGGACTCAAGGCGCCCAACAGTGTGACTGATCCTGACTACTTGTCCTTTCTCCAGCCCATAGTAACGTGCCATCCCATCAGTTTCTAGCAAGCATGGGAGCTGATATACACAACCAAAATTGTAAGTTAAATGAGGTCATAAAATGACTCCACTTGTACAGGGATATCAGAAAAAATAAAAATCCCGAACAATATACTAATATAAAATCTGTTAAAGAGTCACATTGTTCACGTTATGGACAAAATGTCTCATTCTTTAGATTTCATACAATGCACAAGTCTCACTTAGTTCTTAAAGTAGAAGAAGATCTATGTTCCATGCAATGCAGAACTGTATTGCCTTTATCCATCAGCCAAGCAATATATTTAATTAAACTATATTGTCTTTGTCCATCAGAGGGGCAATTATTTATATATATTTTCATTAAACTAGCTGTTAAGTGTGCTTATCCTTCTATTACTTTATCCTGTTCATCAAGATGATGTGACATGGAATTTATTGAATTATCAAACAGAGGACCCCTCGTTCAATGAACCAATATTACTGAAGTGTATGCCAGTTCAATGTTTTCATTAAATATATACTCCCTTAAAAATTTCAACCTTACTGCTACTTTATGTTTCTACATTTTGCAGTTTATTATAGTAGTGGAACTTACAATAGAGCAAGCAAATAACAAGGGCGCGCTTGTGCTTCCTAAACAGGCAATTCAACTAGTATAAACGAAGGTAGACATAGATAATACCTGCTTCGCTTCCATTTTGTACTTCTCAAGCAATTTTTCCTTCTCATCTGTAGTCAATACCTCATACTTAGGTTGTAATGTATGCTTTGAGATATTCACCAGCAAGTCATGGATCTATAAATAATGTCATTTGTTTAAAAGAATAATATGTTAAAGTGTCAAGGGTACAAAATATTCGAGACAAAAAACTTTCAAACAAAAGCAGAATAATGAAACAGAAGACATGGGATGTTAATTAATTAAGCGTGTGAATGCTGTTCAATCCATGCATATAAAAAATGCAACCATATATGTGGAGAATTCTCCAAGACTGAGTAAATGAATGGGGCACACAATTTCTTATCGGATCTGCTCATCGGGTCTCAGAAATTAGTTTGTAAATTGCCCTCAAAAGGAACGTCTAAGTAAATGAAAGTCAATGCCGGTCAAAAAAAGTAAATGAAAGTCAAGGTAAAACCTATAGCTAGCCAAAATAGCAGAGCACAGAAGGACTTTGGCAACATTTATTTATTCTAGCGAGTAACCGCACTTCTCAAAGTCAAGTTAGTATCGTCAGGCCCGAAATAACCTGAAAAAAATTTGGCTATCATGCCATCACATTCTTGCAGCCCTAGAAAGCATCCAACTCAAAATATTCATCACTGAAGTGGGCAAAATGGACAAAGAGAATCTCCTTGCCTTTCTCGCCTCGAAACCAACATTAAGATTAAGATTCACCACTAAATTAGAATTCACAGAAACCTTGACAACATGTAAATATTACACCACCCTTCAGAATGATTGGTTAACATAATTTGGAATTTGTAACTTACTTTAAAAATCTCAACCCTAAATGGCCATTTTTGCAGTTCTTTTCCTGCATAGGTAGTCATTTTGCTTTGCAGAACCAGTATGAGCCGACTTAATCTTTCTTGATTCATAATCTTACCATACAGAAGACGAATGGTTTCAACTTTGACATCAGCAGTTCCCAGAAAGATAACCAGCACCTGCACAAAAAGTATTAAACTAAGGTACATCGATAACAAGGAGAATCTTAAAGGCATGTCAATTGTATACTAGTAGATAGTTAAATAAAGTTCTCACCAAAATATTATCAAAGAAGTTTATCCACAAAGGTATATATTATAATACTGGAAAAATATATGGTACAACTAATGAGGCATGGCAAAATTTTCTTTATCCCTTAAAACAAGTACAATCATCTAATAAGTATCTCTTTTTCAGATGTGCGATTCACCATAAATGTGTATTGTTATCCATATTGAAAATGTTTCAGGAACACGGCTCAAATGCAGGATAGCTAAAGGTCAAATATATAGCAGCAAAACCTGCAAGTGACATTTCTCTCTTTCGATACGTTAAGCGACCAGATTACTGTTCTTGCTACATTTTCGGTTATAGATCCAGAGGATAACTCTTTTTTTTTTTTTAAATAAAAATGTGGTGGGGGGGGGGGAGTCGAAGCTGATTCTATGTACTACTATAAATATTTTTCCATCACTAAATACAAAACAGAGAAATATATTTAAGTTTAAAAGAATATAAATCACACTGCAAATTATGGGAAACTCGTTTAAATATGACGGAATGTTAGGTTTCTTTGAAGATGCGAAACGTTTTGCTATAACCACCCAGGATGGCGGAGGAGAAAACGGATAAATACCCAGGATTCACTATTTTACTTAATCAAGAAAATCAATTGCATAACATAAAAAGACAACCAACCAGAAGAGTTAAAAGATTAACAAGTCCATCGTGTTCATTGCTGGTTCAAGAGGGATGACACAGTAATTGGCAGAATTTAATAGGCACAAGAAGACACCAAGGTCCTTTTTTTATGCGATTTTAGTAACATGACTCCTAAGACAGATTAGCAACGATTTATTATAATCTATGAATAAATCCAATGTTATGCCTTCCACCTCTTCCATGGAGACGAGATCATGCGTTGCCCTGCTTCAGAAAATACACACAGAGCAAAAACAAACAAGCGATTGAAAAGACCTTTTTGGGCTAGTAAATATATACACGCAAAATAAAACAGAAATATGCTGTTACTTTGATTTATTTGCAAATTCCTTTCATTTAACATATGGAAATAAAAATTTTCCTGGTCATCAGGTCCTCGACTATCATTTTTAACAATATAAACCATTATATACAATTCCCGTTAGCTTCTTAAAGGAAGATTTCTTTTCAGACTCTTCAACTTCTTCAATGTATAACTGGCATTGTGGTACCCCAAGAAAGGAAAGACGACGAAGTGTGATTTGAAGTTGAGAAGACAATAACAAAACATCATTTCGAAACAGAGTAGTTGATGGTTTTTTTTTTTTTTTCCTTTTTTGTTTTTCGAAGTTCAGAAAAAAGAGCGATGCATGCATTTCTTCATAAGGAAAAAATAAAGCCACATCCTTTTCTTCAGTAGTCAAAACAAAGAATTGTTAATATGTTAGTCATTTGAGTACAGACCTTGCTCGATGGATTAGAGCGGAGAGAAACGCAGATACGGAGGCTATCGACGTTCGGTTGTTGACCGAAAACACGACGAAAATCATCGAGAGAGCGGGTGAGTTCCGAGCCGGGCACATCATAACCACGATCTCGAAGCATCTCACACACCGTCCGGCGAGCGTAGAAGTACCTAGAGCTCTCCACGCTCCCTTGGTCAACGAAATCAATAATGCAGTAGTTTCTGTTTCCACTGCCGCCTTCTGCGGCGGCCGTGCCGCTTCCGTTTCCGTTTTTGTCACAGGTGAAGGTCGCCATTCTCGCTGGCTGTGGTAACGTTTGCGAGAGCTCGGTGAGCGAGGCGGTGAGCGAGTGCGCGAGCTTCAGGTTCGTACATCCAAAGGGAGGGAATATGGAATGGTACAGTAAGCGACGATACTGCAGCGTAGTGCCTTTCGCGTGAGTCTCTCCACGGCACGACACGTGCCTCAGCATTTGTTTTTAACAAAATAACCCAAGTATAACAACTAGAAATTCATTTTTTTTATAGTCTACATGATTATTATAGATATTAAAAGTCTTTTATTTTAATGTATATAATTAATAAGAGTATTTAAGAAAAAATAATATCTATTTATTATAGATAACTCAACTAATTTTTTTAATGTTTATAAATTATGGGAGGTAGTAAAATATAATTTACCTATCAAGGAGATAATGGCGTTTTATACTGGGATTCCTTTTTTATTTTTAAGAGAATTATTTTTAAGTAATGTATAAATCCGAAAATTTTGAGATTATGGTAATTGATACTTGTTAAATTAAAGTTTGTCGATACTTTTCACAGTATTCAAGAAGAATCTTAAAGTGATTATCATATTAATTAAAGCTTGTTAACAATTAAAGATAACATATTCAGAAATTTCTAAGAATTATGGGCTGAATTCAGATATTTATCATTTATGACTTTAATAAATATTGATGTGTCATTTCATATTAGAATCATCATGATTCATTATTTAAGAATGTTTCAGTAGTAAATAAAAACGATAATGATAAAAAAAAAAGTAAAAAAAAATAAGGTGCTAAAAATCAGAGTCTGGTCTAAAGTTTAAAGATAAAATCGTAGTGAATTATTACAAGTGAATTAAAAATTAAAAGATTGATTTAAAAAAAATTAAAATTATTGTACTGTTCTGTGTTCTTTGATTGTGAGGTCCAGCATGCAAGTTTGATCCCGCATGATGAAATTTCCTTGTTCTTATTTCTCAGCTAATTAGTTGGAAGATTCGTTGTGAAGAATTTTCACTTCTTAATCTTATTACAATCTTTGGTGGGGATTCCCACACTAGTTTACTTGTGGTTTATTAGTACTATTAGCAAACGGTTTTAAACTTAAGGTCTACATCCTCACATTTTAGGTCATAATAATTTATCCAGTTGTGTTCAGAAATATTTAATCTATATTCCTATTTACATAGATAACTTTATATTTTGGTTTGAGATTGAGATTGGACTAATATAATTTTTGGTCGCTCAAATATGTTTTTATTTTGATTTTTGTTTCTCAAGTTTCAAATAATAGGTTTTGATCTTGAAGAGGCATAATGATCTAAATTTTTATTGGATTATAAGAACCAATATTTTAAATGAAAAGAAATTTGACGAATCAAAACTTATAGTGTGTAACTTAGAAAATCAAAATTAAAATGAAAATAAAATTGAAGGAACATAATTTATATTAACCTTTTGAGATTTCATCTTTACTACATGATTTTTCTCTATGCGTCAGTAGTGTCATTATAGTCTTTTTATTTTGAGCTCTTTTGCAATTCTATTTATACTTTTAACTTACTGTGGATCATAAAATTCTCTTTTTTAAATTTTATTTTGTCTTACTCCAAAAAGAAAAACCTAAATGGATGCATTGTAAAACTGAGACTTCATATCCTTCTCATAGCCCCTTCTGGCTCTGCTTATATAACTTTTTTTTTGTTTTCACCAGGCTATTCATCGGAGCGAGCCCAATAACTAATCCATTGGATACTATTGGGCCCAAGATGAGAGCAATCCTCCTAGGCACGCTTGTTCCATTCCCATCCCTCCAGGAATCGAACCCCAAAAGGGATGGTTAAGGGACACAACTCCTTTACCAGTTGTGCCAACGCGCGCTAGTTGCTTATATAACTTTCATTCTTCAAATTATGATAGAGGTTTTTTTCCCCAGAGTGGACCAAAAAAAGGCATGGACTGAGAACGGAATAAATGGGCCCAAAAGGACCACCTACTTAGTTTTCTTTGTTTTGGGCGATTTTTGCCCTCTTCTGTAACAAAAAAAAAAAAAACAGTTATATGAGCCGAATAAAGAAATTTGCACCGGCTATAAGAAGATGGTGGGTGGATTTTACGAAGTTTCTTCTTCTTCTTCCTTTTGGTCATCATTTCAGACTCATTGTGACCGAGGATCTTCTCTTCTGCTGCTCTCTTGTTCTGTGTTTTCTTATGCGTATTATGTCTAGCTTGGAGCTCTTTTTGGGCAAAATGATATACACAGAAAACAACATTACCAACATATTACATAATAAAACTTATTTACTTAAATACTACAGTCAAAATCGTTCTTACCTTTTTGGCAACCGTGAGTTTGAGATATTCTGAATTATTTAAAAAAAAATTTGAATTAAACAGTGGCAGAATACTCCTGCCACCTATTTCATAAGTTAAAAATCCTCCCCATTCCCTGAAAAGTGGGGGCAGGTTTAGGGAGGGGGTGAGGATTTCTAGCCTATAAAATAGATGGCATGCCACCTTTTTTATTAAAAAATTTCAAAAAAATAATAATGCAAAACCCATTGTAATAAATAACAAGTTGCATGTCATTTCAAAATCGTAATTGTCAAGAACAATTTACGATTTTGACTATAATATTTGGGTAACTAATTTTCGTTTTGTAGTATGTTGATAATATTGTTTATTGTGTATGGCATTTTGCTCGCAAAGACTTAGCTTGTCTTTTACTCTTCCGGTTCTTAATATAGGACTTAATTTTTGAGTTGGTTTTGGCCCTAAATATAAGACCCATTTTTCATATTATCAATTTTTTCTAAATTACTCTTATAGATACTCTCTCAACCATAATCAAGTAGAAAAAAGAGATATAGTAAAAAAAGATGATTATAGTGTTTTAGGAAAAATGTGTCACTTTTCTTATAATTAACTAACTTATCTAACTTCTTTAATCTAATCAAATTAGTTAAATGGCTCTTATATTAAGGACTGGAGGAGTACTATGTTTAGACCTATCAAATATAAATAAGGTTGGAAATTTTCATTAGAAATGACTCAATATTATTACATGATGTTGAAGGTGTTCTACTATCTAGCAATATTTTGTAGAACTCGTGACAAATGCTTCTTCCATTGAAAGATATGGCTTTTATGAAACAACATCAATTATCCTATAATTCCTTTTCTTTTTTTGGCCAACGATCCTATGATTCTTCTCACCATAATCGAACTGAGGTTGCCATTATTGCAGTGAAGAATTATTCTTGTCTTGACCTTATTAAGGCTATAATTGATGTTATTAATTGTCAATTAGGGTTAAGTAATGAGCCTTCATTTTCAAATACTTCAAGTTAAGTCATTCATCCACCATCTTCTCATTGTCGCCTCTACTTATATAATTTCAAACTATTTAACATCAAAAGAAAATTTATTAGTAGCATAAAATTTTAAAATTACCTGTATTAATAATGTTAAATGTATTGGGCCGTGGGTATTAGACATCTGCCCATATATTTGTGTGGCTCTGTACGGTTCAATATTATGTCAAGTGTGGTTGTATTTTGAGTAGCTTATAAATAGAAGATTTACTAATCAATAGTTGTTGACTAAGTTTAATATTTCATCTCTTAGTCTCTAGTTTTCATGATATCAGAGTCAGATTGCAATACTGGGACTTGTGATTTATGAGTTCATACTTGGAAAATAGTTGACTCCCCAAGAGTAAGCATGATTCCAATGATAATATTGATAGATACAAAGCAAGACTTGTGGCAAAGGATTATAATCAGAAGAAGGGATAGATTACTTTGAAACCCTTTCCCTGTTGTTAAAATGGCAACTATGCGGGCTATTCTGACACTTGCAATGATATATGGTGGGCATCTCTTTCAAATGGTTATCAACAATGTATTTCTACAAGGTGACTTGCATGAGGAAGTATTTATAAAAGTCCCACAAAGATTTGATTTTTTGAAGAAAAGAAAATAAAGTAAGCAGACTTAATAAATCCTTACATGGACTCAAACAAGCATCTCGTCAATGGAATGGAATGCTAAACTTATAATACTTTAATTCGATGGGGTTGAGATAAAGTAAATATGACTATTCTTTATTTATTAAACAAAACAATGATGAGATAACCTTGTCTTGGCTTATGTAAATGATTTAGTTTTTGCTAGAAATAATATGCAGTAAATAAATGAAGTAAAGGCACATTTGCATCATAGATTCAAAATCAAAGATCTAGGACAACTTAAATACTTCTTAGGTCTTGAGTTGGCCAGGTCATCCTAAAGAATCATTCTTGGTCAAAGCAAATGCACTCTGGACTTGATTTTTGATATGGGATAGAGTAGTACAAGGCCCTTAAAGGTGCCTATGGAACATAGTACCAGGTTGAGCCTTACAGGAATGGCAACAAGCAAGAATGTGCAAAGCCAAAATAAGAAGAAAAGGTCATTTAAACAAGAGGATCCTCTCATTCAAGAGTCGAGCATGTACAAGAGAATTATATATAGGTAAGTTGTGTTATCTTACGATTACAAGACCTGACATTTGTTTTACTGTGCAGGCTTTAAGTCAATATATAAGTGCTCCTAGAAAGTCCCACATGGCAACAGCTATTAGAGTAGTGAGATATCTTAAAGAAAATCTTGGCCTAGGTATTCTTTTGGGAAATTCCAAGCAAAATAGATTGGAATGCTATGTTGACTCGGATTGAGCTGCATGCCATGACACAAGGAGGTCTATTACTGGCTACATAATTAAATATGATGGGTCCTTATGTGCTAGAAATATAAGAAACAGCACACAATGTCAAAGTTTTCTGTAGAGGCTGAGTACAAAGCATTGAGCACAGCAACTTTAGAGCTTGTTTGTTGACTAGGATGCTTAAAGACCTTAATATGGGAGATCCGGGACATGTTAAAGTGTTTTTTTGTTATAGCAAAGGAACTATCCACATAGCAAGCAACCCAATCTTTCATAAAAGAACAAAGCACAGTGAGATAGACGGCCACTTCGTTAAAGAAAAGTTACAATAGGGTGTTATAAAGCTACATCACTTGTCCTCTAAAGAGCAATTGGCATATTTGCCTACAGAACCTCTTGGCAGAGAAGATTATGAAATATTACTGAGTAAGTTGGGTACCACAAATCTATATGGCATTCCACTTGAAGAGACGGTCAAGTGTATTGGGCTGTGGGTA